GCTTCACATCTATAAAATTTCTGACGTAAAATTTTCACTAGACGTTAAAGTAAAAGAGATGGGATGACTTTATAGTACAATGGAATACACAAGCTTTTATATATACATTTTACGAAAAATTATTTAAATCAATAAAAATGCACTGTTTCTAACAAAAATCATAAATTGATGATTTCGACTATTTCGATGGTTCTAATGTTAAAGTCACTCACGACTGTTGGTCGGTCCATCATTGACTATTTCTTTTTCATGCGAAGGACTCAAAGGATTGTTGTAAGAAATGAGAAATGAATCTTTTACTTTATTATCGCGTTCGAAGATTGCTTGTTGAAACTTTTGCGATTCTTCCGCGAAAATCGTAACGATTCTTCTGTAAGTAGAATTTAGCATAATCATCAGACTATACTACTATTGAGTATTGTTCGGGAAATAATCTCGTTTTTTTTTTCCGACGAGTTAATTGTATTTTCAAGCAGCCAACTTCATTCTAAACCATCGTTGTACGACATATTTTGACAGCTAACATTTCAATCTCGTCGTTTATTTAAAAAAAAAATTTTTTTCTCGATTTTACGCAGTTGTTTATTTCTTTTTTCTGGCTGTCGTATCAAAAACGGAATATTATAGAAATTATTGAAAGAAAGGAGCAATGAATTATTATAGAAGAATTATAAAAAGGAGCAATGTCGGAAGTGCAACGGAATTACTTTACGCAGATCGTTGAGAAGTATACCTGTTTCTTCGACACGATTTATTCTTTAGAAAGTACAAACAAGATAAATCGCTCGTAGAACATAGAACGTAGCATCCCAAGCAATTGCCGTCGGCTTCGTACGGAGAAATCTCTGCGTGATCTTTTTTGCCAGTTGATGTCTGCTCGAGTTGGCCAATGAATAAAACGGGGAAAACGTTAGACAGCAGATGAGGATCTCGTCGATCCCGTCGTGCAGACGTTGCGTGACAACGATCGCCAGAGGCTTTTTGTTTCGATCAGAGACACACGGTTCGTGCTCGATTCGATGGATTTCGCGTGACGCGGCGTTTTCACCAGTCGAAAACGCGTCGCGCCAAAAACCCTCTCCCCCTGTCGACCTCGACCTCGGCCTCCGTCTCATCAATGTTTCATACGCATGCGATGACCCCAACCTCTTGCGCAAGCGATACACTAAGTGGTTTTGCTCATAAAGTTGTGACGGTTCGTAGGATAATGTCGCTGGTAAGTGGTCTGAAGTAGCAGGGCGGGTAACGTGTTGCCAACGGCGCACATGTGACCAAGGAAACTGCCGCTCCACAGACGATTTCTTACTTCGACGGAGCTCCTGGTGATTTTCTTTTATCACCGATTAGAAAGTATTGCCTTCTCGGACACTAGAGACTTACCAATTTAATTAGTCTCGAGCGTAATGTTCGGTGTTGTTAGACACTTACACGTGCAATCAAGGATATCGAAAAAGTTGAGGGAACTTTCGAATAGATTCTATTTTGGAAACATGGATCGTCGAGAACAATATTCTTAGTCGGGAACAAACAGCTATGAAATTCAAAAGTTGCATGAAAATATAAAACAATCGTGTTCGATACTTGTTTAGAGACGGTTTGAATTCTTCATTGGAAAGTGCAACGTGAGTTGAACACGTTCAATGCACAACGTTTCAAACGAAATTAAGATTTTGTCGTCGCTCTGTTAACGCATTGAGTGTCGGTCACTGGTGACCGACAGTGATCTTTTCGTTCAAGCTGTGTCGATCTCCGGTGACCGACGAAGCAAATTTAATACACATTAGTGTATTAAAGATTGAAGAATTTTAAAATTACAGGGAAGAATAGTAGCTGAATATTGCTTTTATAATAATGCAATATTTTTTTATTAAAACAGTTTAGGCAAAGGTGTGTTCTCCTTTGCTCCCATCGCAGAATGTTGTAACTTTCTTAGTCACGTTTCTACTGATACTTCTTCCCAACAGTATCGTATCTTCTTCAAAACAATTTTTACAAACTTTTCTGACTTGGCATGCTGGATATAATCGTAGTGTGATCTTGCGTTTTGCTCACCGCGAAACTGTGTCGAACGGCGTGAACAAAGTATGCACGTACGCGTTAATGACGAAAGCAAATAACGTTCTTGAAAATGAGAGTTTTAGACAGAGTAGAATTAAAAATAGAAATTTCTCTTTCGGAGGAATAATTTGTCGCATCAATATTAGAAAAGTTCTCAATATATGTAGCAAATTCAACGAATAGTACTCAAAATGGATTCTTAATCAAATTTTCTGAAATAAAACTCATAACATGTCAAAATAGTGACAGATACACGTAAGTTAGAACAGAATTTTTTTAAAAACCTTAAAGGACCTTAATTTCGACCTCTGCTTAAAATATTCTTTCAATCACTTTTTTTTTTTTATTCTATGAACATCTAAATTCAAAGTTAATCAATTGCGGAAAAGGAAATTTTCAGAAAGTTCCTTCGACGTTTCTTTCGTTCAATTATAGTTAAATTTTCGTTAAGTTAAATTCGTCGTATTTGTAGATTTGACAGTAGACGATTCAAACTTTCACGTAGAAAACCAGTTAAGATCATCTTCACTTTCGATTAATAATAATAATTTCCAATACTTCGACTATCAAAATAGGCGATTTTCGGTTTACTCGTGTTAAAACAAGTAAAAAGAAATTCTTGTTTAATTCGTAATTCGTATATCTCTGTGCGTTATCTCGGAATTCTCTGTAAGAGTCGCACAACACGAAAGATTCGTTCCGGCATTCCAGTTCTATCAAAAGCTTAGCTTGTCTTCTACCGTGTGATCTTCGATTCATCCACAAGAACTTAACACACAAATCCGCCATTACTGTCCGAGCTACCACTAAAAATCTCGTTATCGTAAAATTATGTGTCGAATACGCAAACACGCATGCCAGTTATTGGTATTTGTATATTCAGAACCGTTCGTTGAATATAATTACTCGCGCAGCTTACGTTGGAAAGGAACGTCGCTCGTAAGCATGAACGAACGAACGAATAGGAACAGCACTGATATTAGCATTAAAACTAAATGTCGTGGTAGCTACAGCGTGCGCAGCGTAGCGCGGATACGTTTTGTTTCGGTGAGCAAACAATGGACAACAACGCGTTGCAACGCGGCCGCCGCGCTTTCAAAAACGAGACGACCGAAACCACCACCTTTCACGAAACTTCTCTGAAAGAATTGCGTACGAACGCAGTCTCACGTTCGTGAATTTCAATGGCTTTCAGCCGTGGCAATATGCCGCTTAAAAATTCACACGCACACGCGACACGTTCGTGCAACATTGCTCCGTGACTGATTCCATTCACATCGAGTGCAAGTGTTGCAGGATTTCCATGCGGAATTTCAACGAGCATTGCCATTCATTTTAGCCAATTTAGCCAGCAGTTCGAACGGCCGATCGGCTCGCGCCGATCATTTTTATGCTATCTGGCTGCCGCGAGCATAAATCTTGTCTACTTGACTTTGCAAGCCGCGCCGTTTTCATTTCAATTAACATAAAATCGTTGTACACCGTATAATTTCGTCGAAGAACTAATGGACGTGAGTCAAGAATTCTTCGTCGAGCTGTGAGTTTTTTCTTTTTTTTCTTCTTTTATTGAAACCATTGCTCCGACACCGAGCATTAAATTTACAGTCGAAAAGTTCATCGAGCGACGAGAAATGACGACCAATAAAGTAAATTTTAAACACAAATGCAACAACGATGAAAATGTAAGTATAAAAGAAACAGTATTTGGGGAAGAGGTTGTATTATTTATATTTAATCTGAGATTGATGGCTATTGAAAAGATCGAGATCGAATGTTTTTAATGATCTCTAACAATTAGCTGTATATTAAAAACTCTGCATGTACAATCGAATTGTTCGAGCTTGATTTTCTCATAAATGCTGGATTTAGGCACTCAAGTGAAATTTCTCTAACAAAAGAGTCACATCAATTCGAGCATCCTGCATCTCTAGAAAAAGCAAATTAAAAATCCGATCGTTCGTTTATATTTGTAATCATTGAACTTCCGATCCCCCAAACTTATGAGCAACGAAACGCTAAAACAAGAATTTACGTTCCTTTTAGTAGAACTAACAGTCAGTTGCATGGAAGAGAAATCAGATAATGACAAGAGTAAGAGTATAGTTACAATTAACACATATGAAAAAAAAAGAAAAAATAAATAAAAATCGTATTGAAAAGAGCGGGGTACAGCAACAAACGTAAACGGGAAAATTCGCCGAAATTGGCGGATGTTTATTAATACGCGCGTGGAACCTGCGATCTCGCGTCGTACGTACATTCCTCCCGTGAAACGGCGCACTCTGAAAAAGTTTCGAATTTCAAAGCCTATATTTCCCCTCTGTTTTCGACATGATTTGAAGCCGCGGCGACTCGGGGACGGAATCGGGGGTGCGAGCGGGGACAACCGCGTTATTTTTACAATCTCGTTTTGCCGGCTCGTGAGAGAGCGGTCTCAGCGTGTCGCTGCTCGGTCTTGCGCGCGTGCATCACAGGAGAAAAGGGGAAGGAAGAAAAAAAAAGAAAGAAAAAGAAGAAGGAATCGTTCGTGGGGTATCGCGTTACCGATCGGTAGGTAAGGCCCTTGTCTCCTCTCTTTTTTCTCCTCTTTGGCCGGCAGGGCCGAAAAGGGGTGAACGAGCCAGAGGGCCCAGTCGCGTCCTCGCCACATCGGCCAATAAAACTCGAGGGGATGTCGAGGACATGCCGGACAATGAAACGAATGGACGGGCCCTGTTGAAATAATTATGCCACCGATCTGAGGAATATCTTCGGCCTGTCCTTTCCACGGAATCTGCCGATCTTCTTCGTCGATCGAGCGCCATTTGTTGAGCAGTGCGGTCGAGGAAATTTCCAACTGAAAAAAGGAAAAGACGCAACTCTCGGTAATCGATGACGACGATCGAATTTATCTTGGGACAATTTTCTTCAAGTTTCTAAAATCTAAAAGCGAAGCTTTTTTCATTTTTTTTTTTTTTTTTTTTTTTTTTT